TATATTAGGAAAGAAGAAAAGTTTTATATCCATGACCTCAGGTTGTACTCTAAAAATATAAAAATTAAAAAAACAGGCAAATTTAAAGCAAAAGAAATGAAATAATAGCAAGCAAAGCAGAAACAAATGAAATAGAAAACAGAAGAACAATAGATTAAAAACTGATGAAACCAAAAGCTGGTTAAGAACTACAAAACTGCTAAGTTACTAGCTAGACTGATCAGGAAAAAAGAGAAAAAACATAAGTTATGAATAATAGAAATGAGATAGGGGATGTCATTTCAAATCCTACAGATGTGATATTGAAAGGAAAATAAGAGAATATTAAACAACTTTTTGCCAATAAATTTGACACAAACTACCAAAGTTCACCGAAGATGAATTAAAAAAAAAAAAAACACCTAAATAGCTCTGTATCTATTAAAGCATTTAAATTTGTAGTTAAAAAAATCTTCCCATAAAGAAAACCCTATGCCCACATATTTTCACTGGTGAAACAGATCAAACAAGTAAAAAATAGTATCAATTCTACACATGCCCTTCCAGAAAACACAAGAAATGGGATAACATCCTAAGTCATTCTGTGAGACCAGCATTATCCTGTTACCAAAACTGAACAAACACATTATTGAAATGAAAAACTCTAGACCAAAATCCCTCATGATCATACACATAAAAACTCTTAACAGAATTTTAGCAAATTATATCCAATAATCTAAGGATAATTCATCATGACCAAGTGTGATCTACCCCAGGATTGCAAGGTTTTTTAAAATTCAGAAGTCAATGTTCTGGGACTTATTGAGAAAATAAAGGAGAAAATTCATTTGATAATTTCAATAGATGCAGAAAAATCATCTGATAAAATGTAACATCCGTTCATAATTTTAAAATCTCAGCGAACTAGGAATAGGAGGGAACTTCCTCAACATCCAGCTCATCTAAGAAAAACTTACAGCTAACATTATACTTAATAGTAAAAAGACTGAATGCTTTATCCCTAAGATTGGGAATGAGGCAAGGATGTCTGCTCTAACTTCAATTCAACATCAGTAAGTAACCATCAATCGTAAAAAGTTTTTAAAAATTAATAATAACTGGACTTCTCTGGTGGTGCAGTGGTTAAGAATCCACCTGCCAATGCAGGGGACACGAGTTTGAACCCTGGTCCGGGAAGATCCCACATGCCACAGAGCAACTAAGCCCGTGTGCCACAACTACTGAGTCTGTGTTCTAGAGCCCGCGAGCCACAACTACTTAAGCCCGCATGCCTAGAGCCTGTGCTCTGCAACAAGAGAAGCCACCACAATGAGAAGCCCACGCACCACAACGAAGAGTAGCCCCCGCTCGCCACAACTAGAGAAAGCCCACACACAGCAATAAAGACCCAATGCAGACAGAAATAAATAAAATAAATAAACTTATTAAAATTAATAATAACAGCATATTGAATCCCAAGGAAGTGGGAGAAGAGCGGAATTTAGTGAAACAGGAAAAAATATGCATTAGAAAGGATAAACAAAGGCACTATGGATTAAAACGATTGATAAAGCCCCGGTAAGACTGATCAAGAAAAAAGAAAGCTACAAGTGATTAATATCAGGAATAAAAATGGAGACATCACCACAGATACTACAGAAATTAAAAAGATAAGATGTTATCTTTTCAAATGCAAACACATCTGAAAATTTAGAACTGGAAAATCCCTAAATGAAAATCCCTTAATGAAACTGACACAAAAAGAAACAGAAAATCTGAAGTTCTATAACAATGAGAGAAACTGAACCCAGAATTTTACAACTCCCCACAAAGAAAACTCTAGGTCTAACCCCAGCAAATTCCACTGCACGTTTATGAAATAATTAATGCCAAGCTCACACAAATTCTACCTAAAAATGGGAAAGGAAGATTCCCCAATCCATTTGCCGAAACTTGAATAAAGTAAAACCTTACATAAATATTAGAAGAAAACGTTTTCCTAAATAAAAATATTAAATTAAATGCAACAATATATAAGATAATAATACATCACAAGATTGGTTTTATTCTGGAATGCAAAATTGGGTTGTAAATTCATCACATTAATAGAGTAAAAAAAATTATATAGTCACCTCAATAGGTACAGAAAAAGCATGATGAAATCCAACATACACTGATGATAAACACTTAGCAAAGGAACAGAAGAGTTAATTTCTTAAATTATCTGTAAAAGCATATAGGAATTATCATAATTATGAAATCTTAAAAGTTCTCCCTTTGATACTGGAAATAAAAAAGTTGTTCCATATGATTGTCCGGATGGTCAAAAGCATCTACAGAAAAGTATTACCTTTAGTAGGTGAATTTAGCAAGATTCTTTAATACAAGGTCAATATACAAAAGTCAACTGCATTTCTATATCAGGGGCACAGAAAATGAAGAAATTTAATATCAATTAGATATTAAATAGAGTACTTTAAAAATCTAATACCTAGGAATAAATCTAAAAAAAGAAATATAAGACCTCTATATAGAAAACTATACAGAGTTATGATAGCTAAATAAGACCTAAATAAATGTAGAGATATATCAAGTTGATGGATTAAATGAGTGAACCACATTAAGATAATAATTCTCCCCAAAATGATCTATAAATTCAATAAAATCGAAGTTAAAATCACAATAGGCCTTTGTGATAATAATAAAACAGTTCTAAAGTTTATACTGAAATTCAAAAGGACAAGAATAGTCAAGACATTCTTTAAGAAGAACGGGTGGGAAGACTTGATCTATTAAATAGCAAGTCTTATTACAGAGCTACAGTAATTAAGGCACAATGATACACAAACAAATCAAAGAGCTCAGAAACAGACTACCATATATAAGGACACTATATTTATGACAAAAATGGCACTGCAAAGCAGTGGGGAAAGAATCATCTCTTTAATAACTCATGCTGTACCAATTTGGTATATGGAAGTAAATTCAAAACAGGACCCCTGCTTCACATAATACACAAAATTAAGGTCTAGGCAGATTATAGACCTAAATGAGAAAGGTAAAATAAGATCTTGCTTCCAAAAGAAAATAAAGAAGAATATTCTCATATCAGAGTAGAAATATCAGGGTAATTTCTTAAATAGGACACAAAAATATTAATCAGGAATGAAAATACTGATATGTCAGATATACTAGCCATACCAAAATGGCTAAAGTGAAAAACATGGAAAATATTAAGTGTTGGCTAGGACAGCTATATATGAGAGGTCTCACTGATCCATATCCCAGCTAACACAACAATTTCCATCTTTTTCCCCTTAGCCAGTTTGATGGATGTATACGTCTCTCACTTAGGAAAACATGTTAACATTATCCACAATTAAAGCTGAAGATAAATATATGCAGAAATTCCACTTTTGGTTACATACACAACAGAAACGCTTATAATATACACTAAGATTCAAATACAAGAATGTTCATAGCAGAATTATTTATGAAAATGAAACACTGGATGTAATCCAAGTGTCTATTGACCAAGAAATGGATGAAAACATTGTGGTCTATTCATTCGTCAGAATAGTATAAAGCAATAAAATGAACAATGAAAATGAACAAACTATAGTCATGTGCAACAACACTGATAAATCTCACAAAAGTAGCCAAACACAAAAGAATGCATACTCCATGACTAACTGAATGCATATAAAATTCAAAACACAGGCAAAACTAAACCATGGTGTTTAGGGATTTAAACGTAGATGGTACAACCATAAAGGAAAGCAAGGAAATGATTTCCTAAAAGTCAAGATAGTAGTTTCCTTTGGAAGAGGAAGGTATACTGATTGGGAGGGAACATGTAGGAGGCTTCAGGAGTACTGGCAATGTTCTATTTCTTGTCCAGGGATATAGTTACATGGGTGTTTAGCTTGTAAAAATCACTGAGCAGCATATTTGTTTTGTGCACTTTTCTGTGTATATTTCACACATACACAAGTATAAAGTTATCTAATTAAAACTTTTATATATCTTCATATAGACTATTATAAAATGAGTATAAAGGCTTGATGAGAGGACAGGGGAATAAGAGGGGTGACCACATGGGGCTGGAAATGAAGGATAGGAGTGGCATAGAGAATGGGGGGAGCTGATCTTCCATAATGAGAAGCTACAACACAGTACCTAAAACTAAAAACCAAGCATACCATTTAAGGATATTAAAGTAAGGACAAACAATCAGCTAAAAGAGCAGACGACTTGTTCTAGGAAAGAGGAAAATTGTAGGCATGAAGTTGGAGGCCTATCGTTCACCAAACAAATTTTGCGGAACTGTTCACTGACTCTTTAAAACCTTAAACAAATTTTTTGAAAAAAAGAACATCCTACAATGTCACCATCTACAAGCACAACCTTCAACTTAGCCTAAAGGAAAGCTCTCTAAGCAGAAGTGACTCCCCCCGAACTCTGATTAGCTCACTTGTCAGTCTTAAAATGAGTGTAAAAGAAAATAAAGGAAGAAAAACTCAATCTTTCTTCTATCCCCTAACAAAACAAAAGCTATGAACAAAAAGTTAAAGTATATAATGACTAAATAAAAAGAAACTTTTCCCACTGTGGATTACAATGCATGAACTACCGGCAAACGACACAAGAATAGCTATAGTATGGAAATATGAATTTAAACATTTCTAAATGTAGTTTAAAAAATAGACATAACTTATAGACTCAAGATACACACATTAAGGCACTAGCGTTGTCAAGTTAAGGTGCCCCTAATGTATAAAAATTAGGCCAAAGACAGTACAATAAAATTATGTGAAATACGCTCATTTATCAATTTCTAAATAAATCTGATTTATTTTTAACTAACATCTTAATTATCCATATTTACATCTGGAATATAACAACTTTTCTCTATTTAACAATCTGAGACAAACAAAATGTTATGATTATACATTAGCTATGCCTCCTCAGTTTCTAGAGCTGAAATGTCATGTCAATTACTTAATAAGATTTAATTTTACCTTGTTTAATCTGTCCTTGCACAATATTACTGGAAGTTGGAGGAGAACCCCTTGCCTTAGAAAGGTCTGGGGTGCCTGGTCTAGGTGGCCTTTAAAAAGAAGAAGAAAGTACATGTATATATACACATTCATAGTTGCATAATTCCAGAGCCATTTAAAATACTAAGCTTTCTAGTTCCAAATGAATTGCAAAAGAAACACATAACAGAACATTTTCAATTTGCTGTTCCAAAAACATAGGGGTTTTTTGTTTTGTACCTATTAAAATTTTCCATTTCAGATTTTAATACAGAAAATTAAATGATTAACAAATAGCAAGTAAAAATTTTACATCTACAGTTTATGCTTTAAACTAGTTTAAGAAATATTTACGAACACTTTAATCTACTACCACTGACAGATAAATGTCACAATCAACCCTTCATTCTTCAGTATTAGCATGCTGATATTCCAGCCCACCCCACATCATTGGTCCAAATGAACTTATGGAACAATATACTGAGTTCCAAAAAATTCAGCCCTACAATGTGAAAAAGGTAATAAGGCATTAAGAAATCTTCCACTCCACAGGCAGACTGTCCCCTTTTGAATTCCGGCCCTACCATTTTACTACTTGTGTGACCTTGGGCAAGTTACTTCACCTCTCTGTCTCAGCTCTATCATCTGTAGCAAAAGGATAATAAAAGTACCTACCTTATAGGGGTAAGGGCACTAAGGAGATAACATCTGTAAAGTGCTTACAACAGAGCCAGACACTAGGTAAGTGCTACTTTAGTATGTTAGATTTAAAAAAAATCCTAAATGTGGTCGGCTCTCAATAAAGTATAATAAAACCAGAGTTTAAAAAGTTGTCTTCATGACTTCTGCAAAATGAGAAATAGCAACTCAGGTTAAATATATAGAAATATTAAAAGAATACTCTCCGGCACTTTAAAAAGTTGTTTCCTCTTTTCCCAGAGAAATTCTGACTATGCTTCTCACAAAATGCTGAAGCCAGCCACTGAACACTTACCATTCATCACCGTGGGTCACACATTTTAACCAAATATACAATTTGAATTAAATGTTAGTGCAAACTGTAAATAGATACAATCTAAGATTATATTTACTGAAGAGCTAGTCTATAATTTGTTAAAGCTAAACTCTGACCTACTCCCTCATTCTAAGTTTTTTTTAAATAGCTACTAAGTATGTCTGAGTATAGATAAAACTGTACAATTTGATTATATTTTGTCATGCATGTTGTATTTAAAATTTAAAGGGGAAACACTGAGATGACAAAAATGCCAAAGTGTGTAGAGCGCCCCACCCCCCCCAAAAAAGGTAATTAAGAAGTGACAAAAATAAAACAGGTTTCTTATTTTTTGAAACATAAGAATAAAATCAAACTATCATGGTCACACCTGGTAGGGCCCTTCTTCATATGATCACCAATAAAAGTTGCATTGGTCATACTCATTAAGGTATTTGCCAAAGAAATGATAGACAGGAGATGTTGTGTGGTGACGGCCCGGGACACTCCGTAAGTTCCCTTTCCTACTCCCTCCGTTGCCAGCAGCTTCCTTCCTACTTCTGCTTTCCCATGTGATGGTTTACAGGCAGCCTGATTATAACCAGGAAGCATCAGTGACATATGACCCCCTCTCGATAAGAGGCCGAACGATACTGTGCAGTGGGGTTTCAGCATTCCAAGGCGATCGAGACAGACTTCATCCAGAACATCATTCAAACCCCAGGCATGAAGGCAGGACATGAACAATTTTGCTGTGTCCATAGTCAGATTATATTCTAACAGGGTCAGTGGCTTAGATTTGCTGGCCCGATATTCGGGATCACTTTCTTCCCGTCTCTGTCTCATTATCTCCTCATCCTCCTCTTCATCATCAAGGAGATGTTCCTTTATGTTCTCTTTGATAGTTTCTTTCACTTGTTGGAAGAGAACTGCTGCTCGTTTTCCAGTTAGAAAAGAGCCCCCTTTGTCTGAACCGCCAGATGCTTTTTGCAGATTCTCTGGGGAAATAAGCGCAGTATTCGGCCTAGAGGCTTCTTCAGTCAGGAGTTGAATAATCAACGCTTCCACATCAAAGAAAAGCACATGTATGTCCGGGTCTGTTAGGTTTGTCTTTATTGCTTGAACCATCAGGGAGTTATGAGAATATTTAGGTAAATTTCCCTGCAACAAATATTTTAAAAGATGGCTATAATTCAAAGTATTTAATTTCATGCATTCATTAATGAACAATAAATAATCAAAGGGATTTAAATGCTTATTAAGCTGTCTTTTTAGATATCTATATCATTAAAAGTTAACACACTAACTCTGCCAGTCAGCAGCACATAAAAGATATGAACTTAAACCATTAGAAGAACTTTATGCTGAAACAATTATAAAACTGTCAATTAATCTTTTAAAAAAAGAAAATGAAAGTTAATTATTGAAGCAGGGAGTCTTTTTACTCATAGAACAGATTAAAAATTGTTTCAATAACTTATATGCAAATTCTATCTCTGAGAATGTAATACTACTGTTCCACTTGAAAGAATAATGCATTCATCACAGCTACTCATCCTTTTAAGTTGCTGCCCCAACAAATTCCTCCTTTTTTACTTTACCTTCAGTCTCTTCCTCTCCATAAATTCTTTTCCCTCAATAGAGAACATGTTCAAGTCTACTTAGAGTCTTTAAAAGTTATGCTTTGACCATGCTCCTTCTTCTATTTCTTTCCCAGTCTACTGCCCCTTTTAGCCACATTTAAGGAAAGTAGTAGACTAATGCAGTGGAAACTTTTCAAACCCTCTCCTCGTTAATCTCTTTGCAGTATCTCTGACCATATCCATAATCTCTGACGCTGTTGATTTTGCTAAGAGAGACAGAAAGAGAGAGAAAGTATAAAAAGGGCTTCCCAGAGAACACCTTCTTAATGAGCCTTCTAGTTCTGACCACCCTTCTCAGTCAGCTGCCCTGAAAACTCATTCTTTCTCCCATATTAGAACTATCACCTGTATGCAGGTGGCTCCCTAATCTCCATCACCAGCCGGACCAGCTCCTGAAAGAGTTTCAGTCCTGCAGTTCCCGCTGCTTGTATCTGGATGGCCCACAGAACCTTGTACTTAATCTGTCCTAATCTCCACCCTCCCACTAAACCTGCTGCATCTCCCAAATCATTGGTTGAGAATCATTCTTCTAATCTATCCCCACCACCACCATCACTATGTTCAGACACTTATCTCCTCTCCTCTGAACAGGCGTCACTGCCCCTAGTCTCTCCTTACTCCCATCCAGCCTCCACAGGCCACAAGACTGCTTTCTGAAGAACAAATCTAATCATGTCACTCTTCTGCCAAACACTGCCATTATCATGGGTTATTAAGAGAAATGGAAAATACAAAATTAAAACTAAATCAAAGTATAGGTGAATAGATCTCAAGATGAGAAAGGACTTGCCAAACACACTTAAATTTAAAATTCACTACTATAAGAAGTTAAGGCAAGTAAGAAATAGGAAGAAAAATGTGCCAGAAATAGGACTAATGAAGTTATAATCTATATAAAAAATAGTTAATACCAAAATTAAAGGGAAAAATACCATAAAGGTCAAGGGCAATTCACAGTAAAAGAAACAAACAGTCAAGGAATATAAGGGAAAACCTACTCAAATGAATTGTCGAGGAAATAACAATTAAATAACCACAAGATACCACTTATAAAATTAGCAAACAGTAAACACAAAAAAAAACTTAGCCAGGAGTACAATGAAAGTCAGACCCACACACTGCAGGCATGAATTTAAATAGAGCCTTTTGGAAGAGCAATTTGGCAAAATACAGCATGAGCCCTCAAGATTGTTTGATCCAGTACATTTATTTCTAAAACCCTATCCTAAATAGTCAGAAATACAAAGATGTTCAGTGAAACAGTATCCATTATTTTAGATTGAAAACAACCTAAATAATCCAACAATAAAGAAATAAATAAGCATAGCCATGTAGTAAATATTGTAATCACTATAAGTCATGCTTCCTGGGCACATTTAACCACATGGCAAAATGCCCATGTTCCAATTTTAAGTGAGATAAGACTACACACATGCACATACGTACACACACACACACACACACACACACACACACTATACAAGAGAGTATAATTCTGATTTCATTTATTTAATGCCCAAGTATGCATTTGAGCACAGTGACAAACACTGGAAAAATACATAAAAATGTTCATAGCAACCACTTTTTGTGATGCAGACATATCAGATTTACATTTTCTTCATATTTCCATATATTTCTTAAATTGTATATAATCAATATGTATTATTTTCATAATTAGAAAATAATGCTCTAGGATAAAATGCAAAATCCTTCAGCACAACATTCAAGGCCCATTACAATTTGATACCAAATATTTTCCAGCTAAAACAAACAGGCTCTAGCACCATAACCACACTCCCCCACCCATTAATCCCTTTATTTATTTCTTTACCCAAAATATTCTTCTTTGCTCTACTCCAATCCCTTCTTTTCCATCAAGACCCTAACTCTCCTGGGAAAGTTAGTCCACAATGAACCCAGTTCCCATAACATTTTCTATACTATATATCACAAACCTGTAAGCCTTGGCTATATTTATATAATTGGTTCTTTTATGTATTTACATTTTCCTGTACTCTACAGGAACTATACCTTACTCATCTTTTGTAACCCCATGCGTATCAGAGTACCTGGCAGAATGAACAAAGAACATAAAAATCTTCATAAAATTATTTTAAGTGGCTAATCAACTCTTCACTCGTAAAATTACACGAAGTCCCTTTAAATGGTCTATCTTCTGTCTCAGTCCTCCTCCCATCTGATTATGTTCCTTTCCAGCTTAAGAGGCTTCAGCAACATTTTATAACCCAAGGATAAAATCTTTGCAAAAACTTCTTTGCAAAGCACAAAACAGCCTCCAAAATAGACTGCTGCCGACTCCCCCAATTCCATGTCTAACCACAACCCTGCATCTTCTACTGAAACCAAATAAAACCACTTGTGCCTTCCAGAACCATGAAGTTGCAGACATTTGTACCTCTGCATTTCTTATGCCAGGATCATGCTCCTTCCTCATTCTCACTGCTGCCACTCAAGTCATACTTCTATTCAACCTTTAAGAAGTATCTCAAGTGGCTGCTCTTTCAAAAATTATTTCCAGAATTATCACTAATTCTGCTTCCTTTGTATAAACCTCTGCTCTGAATTGAATAAATGGTGTTTAAAGGAAGGTAGAAAACAAATATTATTTCCATACTATAGCTTAAGAAGCTAAGGTGCATAAGCAGTACAGATCAATTTACACTACACAAAATATGAAGTAAAAAAAAAAATCAAGACTTTCTGAATTTCATTCCTCTGTTTAACTCATTCATTCCACATTTACCTATGTTTGTGCAAGGGACTAAGGATACAAAGATAAATAAGATGATTTTCTAGTCATGCAACTCAAAACTAATGAATAATGAAATTACTATGTAGGATGAATGGTGCTACAAATAAAGGGCAGTTGGAAGGTACAACAAAACACAACAAAAAGGGACCTCCCTGGTAGCTCAGTGGTTAAGAATCCGCCTGCCAATGCAGGGGACACAGGCTCGAGCCCTGGTCTGGGAAGATCCCACATGCCGTGGAGCAACTAAGTCCATGTGCCACAACTACTGAGGCTGCACGCCACAACTACTGAAGCCCACACACCTAGAGCCTGTGCTCTGCAACAAGAGAAGTCACCGCAATGAAAAGCCTGCGCACCACAACAAACAGTAGCCCTTGCTCACCGCAACAAGAGAAAGCCTGTGCACGGCAACGAAGACCTGATGCAGCCCAAAAACAAAAAGAAACACATCAGAGAAAGAGAAAGTACCAACTCCACCTTGGGCGATCAGGGAGAACCTCACCAAAGGGATAACTTGAGGTATGAAAGGGCAGAAAGACAGCAGGATGTGAAAAAGGATAAAGGCAGGAAACATCACAGGATGGGTGTTGATGTTGATGACCAAGACAAAGAAAGAATGCAAGGCATGGTTCACTGAGAGCACAGGTGTCCACACTAAGGCTTTTGAACTTTCTCTTGCAGGCTTAGGAGCCATTAAAACAGTGCTTCTCTCAGAACACCAGAGATGCTTGTTAAAGTACGGGTTCCTGGGCCTGATATCAGACCTGAATCAGTGTCTCTTGGAATGGATCAGAATCTGCCTAATGAAACCCTAGATGGCTTTATACAGTAAAGTATGAGAGCTCCTATCTAACGGCTTTAATAAGGGGAGTAACATGATCAAATTTAATTTTATAACTATTTATCCACCAGCAATGTTGGCTGAAAAGAAGCAAGATCAGGATTATGAATATAACCTGGAGGAAACAGAAGCCATCCAGGTGAGGGAAGATAAACGTATGCAACAGTACTGAAAATGTAGAAGATGGGATGGGGTGAAGGATGCATACGCTAATGTTTTATTTCTCACGCCACCATGCTCAGTATTTCCTTTTGCAAACACTAAATGTGTAAATGTCAAACACTATGTTTAGAAGATGGCAGTGTGGGAATACGCCAAGTTAGCATCTCTCCACAACTAGGGCGCCTGCCGGCCGCTGGTGGAGAACTCTGACGCCCAAGGAGATGGGAGGAACCCCCAAGTGAACTGGTAGGAAACGGGGGACTGAATGGGGAGAAGGTGAGACCAGACAGGATTGGCACCCGTGAGGCTGGGGAAATCAGGAGAGGCAGGCGGGAGGGGCCCTCAGGAGGAGTGGGAGAGGAGCAGACGGTGTTTGCGCCACCCACCTAGGCACAGGGAGCCTGCTGAGCTCCCAGGCTGGTCCCCTGCCCTCCAAGGCCCCACCCAAGCCACGTGGGTCCTTCGGGGAACAGGAGGTAGGCAAGGGGGATCAGCAGAGGCAGGGGGAGGGGCCCTCCGGGAGGACTGGGAGAGGAGTGGAGGGCATCTGCCCTGCCCACTCCAGCCCAGGAAGCCTGGTGGGCTCCCAGGTGAGGTCCCCTCACACCCTGAGACCAGGGGTCGGGGGCACGCCTGGGCCCCTTCTGTTCCTTGAGCCTAAGCCCCACCCCCAACAGCCCCCAGGGTCTTTTCCAGCCCTGTGGCTCCTGAGCATAGGCTCCGCCCACCACCAAACCTCACC